TTTTTTATTTAATCGAAACTCCGGTGTCTAGACACATACCTCGCCGACTCCGGTGTCCGCACCAGAGCGAATAAGCCAGTGTCCGCTCGTGCATCTCCGGTTGGGCGGCGCACCGCACGCAAAGACAGCCCCCCAAGTTCGCCTTTATTTTACCGTGCATACCGCTAGTAAGATGACAGAAATATGCCTTCGCAGACATATGACATATATTTCAGCTGTACACTGAATCTACAATAAAGCAAATAGTACTTTAATCAGTGCGTTTGAGATGCGTCAAGCGTACGTTATTGATACACTATATGAAACAGTGAAAACGAATGCGTTATACGTTAGATAAAGAGCAATAGGCTTTAGATTCCATTATCTGAATGATCTAATATCCCATGTGCTGGATGTGCTTCTGCGATGGGTTTCCATGGTTGCACTTCTGACACATATTTCTGCATCTGAAGTGAGACAGATGCAGAGACTGAAGTGCAGTGGGTGGAGTAGAGCAGATTCACTCATCAATACACATTTATAGAAGGTGTTGCAGTGTCAACAAGTTCAAACACAAGTTCATATCTGCAACATCTTCAAACTGCATAAAGTGCCAGTCTGCATGGAAGTCAAGTATAGCAGATGGTGGATGTATTAAATCATTCAACTCTTATCTCTCTCAGCCACCAGCTGAAGGGGCACCAATGAGCGCAGGTACTGGCACTTTTAGCAGGGTTGTGATAAAGAGTGGCACGGTCACCCTGAAATATGACTGCGGCCCCCACTGGATCCCCCAACATTATTGGGCTAGAGTACTGTCAATCTGACGATGCCTGTATGCCACTAGATCAGAGTGCTATCAATTGCTGCCTGATTGTTGCATGCAAAGTTTGCATTTGGAGCGCTCAACAACGCCATTAGATCGATGGGCTCTGTCAGTGCTTTGGCAAGGTAACACTTTTTGCAATAAAGCTAAGTTCAAAGGCCAATTTAAAATATTGGTACAGTAAATAAAGTGCACAAAATCAGTATTTTGTTTAGGCAGTATTTGTGGCAGATTGTGGCAATAGGGATTTCGCCTAGGGCGTCAAATTGGCTAGAAACGGCCCTGCCTAAGAAGAACCGTGAAATTGTTTATTTGTCACTGACATTTTTTAACTATTTAACTATTAACTGTTTTAACATAATCATTATATTTCCATTAAAAAAAGAGAAGCTTTTGAAACATATTTTACAATATAAAAAGCAACACTAACTGTGTCATTAAATGGCAAATTATATGATTTTTAAGAGACTTACTGACCTGAACACAATGAATAGGGTACAGAGTTCTTTTCTGTTACATTTTTTCCTGCTTTTTAAAAACATGTTTATTATAGACAAAATGTGGTCTAGTATATTGGTATATGTTTTTTTAAGATGAAATGAAATTAACTTCATCTAGAGTTGCGGATGGATATGTTGGTAAATTTGAAGAGTTGTTATTCTTCCGAATGTTTCAATTAAGGGACACAAAGAGCAGCTTTTCCTGTCGAGTTACGACGCATTTGACTGACACTTTTCATTCAGCACCTAATAGCACACTAACTGCAGGAACAGATTCCCTGGAGCAATGTGAGACTGCATGTCATTCTCAGATGTAAACTACTAAATATATTGAGCAGTATTATGATGAGTACTGGGTGACCTCTTCCAGGATATGCACTTATGACATTTCCCAAGGGGCCACTAAATCCAGTAGTTATGCTATATATTCCCCTATATGAA